TGCAGACCGATGGGTGAGTCCAAACATACATCCTATGTAAAGGGACTGATTGAGGGGATGGATGTTGCTGTTCTACTTGAATCTGGTTCGACTGTTTCACTGATTTCGGAAGACTTCAAGACGTCGATCCCTGCCCTACGCAAACGTGTACTTGGTGCTGACTACACATTTGCTCATGCTGTGAATGGACAACTCTTGGACACACTTGAACAATGACCATTTCAATCTGTTTGAGTGAGGTTTACGTAGAACAGACTGTGCATATTGTCAGGGGGGCTACATAAAAAGTTCTTTTGGGTCTTGATTTCATGCTTGCATATCAGGCTGTCCTAGATGTGGCCGGGGGGGTTGTTCACTTCAAAGGGATAGACATTCCTCTGTTACATGCTGCAGACTTCATCCCGAAATGTTGCAATATAACCATGTCTACAGATGTCATTATTCTGCCATACTGTGAAATGGTTGTTCCTGTGCAGGTGGACCCTGGATAATACATGGATGTTCTGTGTAGACTACAGGGACCTAAATGCCGTTACAGTGAAGGATTCCCACCCCCTACCCTGGTTGGATGGCACTTTGGATGCTCTAGCGGGGCCACATAGTTCAGTACATTAGATCTTTCAGATGGCTACTGGCAAGTTGAGGTAGCTGAGGAAGACCGTGAAAAGACTGCCTTCACTACTGGACATGGGCTGTACCAGTTTAGGTCAATGCCAATGGGTCTTACCAATGCTCCAGCAACCTTCCAGAGAGTCATGGAGCTGGTGCTTAAAGGCCTCCCCTGGCAGATCTGTATGGTATACCTTGATGACGTACTGATTTACAGTAAGTCCTTTAGTGAGCATGTGGTGGCGCTGGACGAAGAGCTTTCAAGGATCAGATCAGCAGGCTTGCGACTGAAGGCAAAGAAATGTCAGTTGGCTCGTGACCATGTAGTGTTTTTTGGGCCACGTCATCTCGGACAGGTTCGTCACTACTGCCAATGTCTGGCGCATTTGCGGGTTCTACTTTTTATAAACTCTGTGGTTAACAGGATGTTTTAGCTAGGCTTTAGCTCTGGAAAAGCTCCGTGGAGATCTGGAGCTAGAACACATTCATAAACTCGTTCACGCACGCCAGGACGAACGCACTCACTTTTACGTTCGTCAGGCAAAATACGAACGAGTTCAGTTCACGTTCACAAAAAAAAAAATACAAAGTCACGCATGATCGTTCAATGAACGCGTTCGGGCACAACACTGGAAACCAGTTAGAGATTCTCTAAGCTTTATGACATTGTGCGTTATCCAATCTACGCCTTTCAGAGTCGATGACGCTTGACGATCCCATCGCTCATACTTTGTAGACAGCAGAGACCCGGTGTGCAGCATCACTTCTCCTTCCCCCTTTCTTCACACTGTGCATGCACGTGGCGACAAAAATGTAAAGTAAACCTTTACTTTGTGAGAGTGAAAAGAAAAATGATCATTTATGTAGCGTCTCAGGGTAAAAATCATGAGGTGCATCACAAGAACTAAAACAGTGATGTAAACCAATGAGGAAGGTCGTTAAAACGCGTCTACACCGCTGATTAAACAGGATTTTAAAAGAACTGCGGTTTAGTTTTTTCTTCTCTTAAACATGAAAATCATGTTTTTGTCTAAATTAATACAGCAGAGATGTTATTGTTCATCCTTTCCTATGTCATCTAATCTGTTGCACTCACTACATAGAAAATGTATGTCAATGAATCCATGTGATCATTATTGGTGATTCAGCACCCTTGGTGATCGGTATCGGTGACTCAGCACCCTTGGTGGTCGGTATCGGTGATTCAGCACCCTTGGTGATCGGTATCAGTGACTCGGCACCCTTGGTGGTCGGTATCGGTGATTCAGCACCCTTGGTGATCGGTATCAGTGAGTCGGCACCCTTGGTGATCGGTATCGGTGATTCAGCACCCTTGGTGATCGGTATCAGTGAGTCGGCACCCTTGGTGATCGGTATCGGTGATTCAGCACCCTTGGTGATCGGTATCGGTGACTCAGCACCCTTGGTGGTCGGTATCGGTGATTCAGCACCCTTGGTGATCGGTATCAGTGAGTCGGCACCCTTGGTGATCGGTATCGGTGATTCAGCACCCTTAGTGATCGGTATCGGTGATTCAGCACCCTTGGTGATCGGTATCGGTGATTCAGCACCCTTGGTGATCGGTATCGGTGATTCAGCACCCTTGGTGATCGGTATCAATCAAATTAAATAAAATCAAAGATACTTTATTAATCCCAGGGGGAAATTAGAGTTTCAGTACACACAATTCAGAGATCAGACAAACATACATGGGCAAGACACATGGCAAGAATTGGTGACTGTGGTCATTCGCAACCCTGAGTCGCGCTACCTTAATAGAGAGATAAAAAAACTAATTCACGCATGATCGTGTTAGATGAGGATTGGTTCAGGTGGAGGGAAAAAAGGCACTTCAGAGTTACCCTCCCACCAGGAGGGCAGCTTTACTCTGCAAACAACACAAGTGTCCACTAGGTGGGGTGGTGGGTTGGGACTATCCCCACTTCAGTTCCTGCAGCCACGATAAGCAGCGCATGTCACCTCAGTGTGGATAGGGGGAGGGCGTTGAGGGTTGGAGGGTTGCAGTGACCCTGGACGCTTCAGCGGCCTTCCCGCAGTCCCACCCAGGCTGGGAAAGGAGACAGAGTTGAGTTGCCATAGCGACGGCACATTCCACATATCTTCTTGGGGGGGTGGGGGGGGTTGTTCGTTGGAGCCTTGCAGGCTCAAGGGTGCCAGATTCTGATTAGAAACTGTTTTGGGGCCAGACAGAGATAATTTCCTCTCTGTCTTACAGTTTGTTGGTCCTCAACCTCTCAAAATCCAAATAATGGGCGTTAATCTGTCCAATCCGTGCTGATTCGTCCACTCTCTCCTTGATGGCATCCATCTTTTTGTGCCAAAGAATGAATCTCCGCCAAAGTCCCAAGCTTATGATTCATCTCGACAATTATTTAAGTCTGTGAATTCACAGCGCGGTGCAAACCATCTCTGAGCTCCGGGATCAGGCCAATATTCCTCGACAGCTCGTTAATTTTCCGGTAAGCCAGGATGAGCAGGAAACCTGACACCAACACCACAAATATCCACATGTCTTCAGAGTTCTCCACAGACAGCTGAGATAAACAAATCAAGTTCCACTGTTTCCAAGAGTCCATGATGTGTCCAACTGGGTCTGTCCCGGCGGGGCATCTGGGAGCCCGTTCTCCCGTTCTCATTGTTGAAAAATGTTTTATCAATCGCGTTGAGAAACCAGTTGACGAGATCCGTTTAAGTGAATTTCAGTTTCCAGTTTCCAGAAAAATGCAGAAGCAGCCGTGCACCCAGCACACAGAGACAGACAAAGGCCTTGAGGATAAGATTTGAACAGGTGTACCAGGACTGTTGTTACTGATCTACATTCTGTTTCCTAACAAAGTCAAAGTCAGTTTTATTGTCCATTCTGCCACATGTACAGGACATACAGAGAATTTAAATTACGTTACTCTCAAACTCTCGCTAGATAGAAAATAAACATTTAGTATAAAAAGAGTAACCAAGTTCAGAGAGACTGTGGGGGAAAAGAGAGGAGGGGGGGAGAGCCGGGAGGGAGTTTAGCTTCCTAACTGCCTGATGGTTAAAGCTGTCCTTCAGTCTGTTGGTCCTGGCCTTGAGACTCCGCAGTCTCCTCCCTGACGGCAGCAGCTCGAAGAGGCTTTGCATTGGGTGAGTGGGATCAGCCGCAATGCAAAGGGCGTTTTTTGTGAGACGGGTGCTGTAAATGTCTGGTAGGGAGGGGGGAGAGACCCCAATGACCTTCTCTGCTGCTCTCAGTATACGTTGGAGGGTTTTAATGCAGGAAACGTTGCAGGCTCCGAACCACAAAGTGATGCCGCACGACAGGATGCTCTCGATGGTGCCTCTGTAGAAAGTGTACAGGATGGGGGCTGGTGCTCTTGCTCTTCTTAGTTTGCGGAGGAAGAAGAGACGCTGCTGTGATTTCCTGGCCAATGCGATGGTGTTGTTCGTCCAGGAGAGATCCTCTGTAATGTGAACACCCAGGAACTTGGTGCTGCTCACTCTCTCTTGTATTACAGTTTTCATTTGCATTCCTGGACTTAGTAGTTAGACTATACAGTCGAGCCGAACAATCAATGCTTTTCTGATCTAAATTGCGATTTTAAACAACTAAATCACGTCATCTTCAAAGCTTCGGGCGTTTGCAGAGTTCCTAACCTACCAAGGACCTGTTTTACTCATCCAGGGTTTTCCCAGGTTCAAAAGCACATTTGATTGTTTTTGGCGATTTTTCCTTTATGTGGCCCGCTACGGCAGGCATCTGTCGCTTTTGCTCATTTTCTGTCCCTCACCTAGCGATGTGTGCGAGTGTAAGACGAGGAGTCTTATTTACCGGGATTTAGCGTAATAACGCCATGTGGACGTGAGAGCACAACCTGCCTTCTGTAAAGGAAAACTGAATTTTTCTGATGCCACAAACTTTGCAGTAGTATTGTAAACCAAACATGCATGTACAATTTGTCAGCATTTGGCATTAGAATGTTGTTTGTGAGAAAACCATCCAAACCGCTCTCCTTGGTCAATTAACTTTGGGAAAACTCTGCATGCAGGTTTATTGTTATTAAACGTTTGTGAAAGCTATTCTTACCTTTAGTTTACATCCTTGCATTATTGGAGAAATAACTTTTAATATTTTGATGGTTTGGTGTCCTTTTCTGTCATGTTTGTAAATACATAACATTATGAATATTATACTGAAGCTGGATTAGCAGAAAACTGCGCATCAAATGAAAACTATTTCTGCCAGAAAATTTTGGAGAAGAATATTTCCTTTAAATCGTTCAACCCTTCTTCACAAACAAAATATTCTCCAAACATCGCCAAGCTAAGGATCACCAATTTACACTAAACAAACTATAACTTGGGCTTATTTGAAAAGGACTAGTAATAATTACCAATATTCGAATGTTTAAGCAGACGGCAGATCCGAGCTTCTCGTTCCAGCTTCTGATGATCTACGAGAAAGAAAAAAAATACAACGGTCAGCCAAGTCCTCCTGATGATATTGTTCAAACTTTTTTAGACTTTCCTCGAATTAAACACCAGCCCCTCCAGCTGGAAACAGATGAATAATGAAATGTCATTAGTGGAAACGGCAGCTGGGAGAAGCTGCTCACATGGAGAATAAACTGAAGGCTGAAACCTGAAGGAACAGTCAACTCTGTTCTCCTATTCTACCTTCACAGTTCTAAACAGGAACAGACCATTTCAAATGGACGAATATGAAGCACAAACACACACATACGCACCAGCAGACACACACTACTGAGAATCAGATGAGATGTGATTTAGAGTGAATGTGTGCCTTTACTCAGTACTTTGCTGATGCACCTTAGGCAGCAATGACAGCCGCTAGTCGTGTTGAATATGATGCCACAAGACTGCCACACCGATCTTTGAGCAGTTTTGCCCGTTCCTCTTTGCAGCACCTCTCGAGCTCCATCAGGTGGGATGGAAAGCATAGGTGCACAGCCGTTTTCAGATCTCTCCAGAGATGTTCAATGGGGTTCAGGTCTGGGCTCTGGCTAGGCCACTCGAGGACATTGACCGAGTTGTTCTGTAGCCACTCCTTCGATATTTTGCTTTGTGCTTAGGGTCATTGCCCTGCTGAAAGGTGAACCATCACCCCAATCTGAGGTCAAGAGCGTTTTGGAGCAGGTTTTCATCCAGGATGTCGCTGTACATTGTTGCGGTAATCTTTCCCTCTATCCTGTCTAGTCTTCCAGTTCCTGCCGCTGAAAAACATCCCTACAGCATGATGCTGCTACCACCATGCTTCACTTTAGGGATGGTATTGGCCTGGTGATGAGTGGTGCCTAATTTTCTCCAAACGTTAACGCCTGGCATTCACTCCAAAGAGTTCTATTTTTGTCTCATCAAACCAGAGGATTTTGTTCCTCATGGTCTGAGAGTCCCTAAGGTGCCTTTTAGCAAACTCCAGGCGGGCTGCCATGTGCCTTTTACTAAGGAGAGGCTTCCGTCTGGCCACTCTACCATACAGGCCTGATTGGTGGATTGCTGCAGAGATGGTTGTCCTTCTGGAAGGTTCTCCTCTCTCCAAAGAGGACCACTGGAGCTCTGACAAAGTGGTCATCAGGTTATTGGTCACCTCCCTAACCAAGGACCTTCTCCCCGTTCAATCAGCTTAGAAGGCCGGCCAGCTCTAGGAAGAGTCTTGATGGTTCCTAACTTCTTCCACTTATGGATGGTGGAGGCCACTGTGCTCACAGGAACATTTAAAGCAGCAGACATTTTTCTGTAACCTTCCCCAGCCTTGTGCCCCAAGACAATCCTGTCTCGGAGGTCTACACTCAGTTCATCTGGGTTAGGGTTAGGGTTAGGGTTGTCTTCACGCTTGGTTTGTGCTCTGACATGCACTGTCAACCCAGGGGCCTTACATAGACAGGTGTGTGCCTTTCCACATCATGTCCAATCAACCTAATTTACCACAGGTGGACTCCAGGTAATCTGCTGAAACACCTCAAGGATAATCAGCGGAAACAGAAAGCACCTCATTTCAATTCTGAGCTTCACGTCAAAGGCTGTGAATACTTATGTTCATGTTATTTCTCAGTTTTTTTTTTTTTTTTAATACTTTTGCAACATCTTCAAAGACAGCTTTTTCACGTTATTATGGGATGTTGTGTGTTGAACTTCATGGGCAAAATGAATTGAATCCATTTTCCGGATGCCCTGTATGTAGTCCATTAGAGTGTATTTGAGTTTATCACAGATCAGTTTGGAGCAACCAGATTCTTCAAGACACTGGTTCTGCTGGGAAACATGATGGGATGCAACCAAACATCCCGACGTTTATACGTGTGGAGCAAAGGACGCACGAACAAGCAGTCTGGAGTGGATTTTTTATTTATTTATTTTTTGATGCAGCGATATGAAATTTTTGGGCCGATATCGACATTCAATATTAAGATCACTGTTATGACCGAAAACCGATATTTGCCGATATCGATATACTGACATTAAAGGTTGGTTTATGCTTGACGCGTCCGCGAGGTCCGCACGGCTCCGCGCGGAAAAGTTGCGTCATTTTGCGTCATTTTAACAACCACGCCCCTCCGCCGCACCTCCGCACGGCCCAGAATTTCCGCAACGCGCACCTCGGAAAATTTCTAACCAAGCGGACGGACAGACGTGGAAAAACATGGCGGACCGGCAAGAACTAGTACGGCAGAGGTTCTTAAATACAGACATTTGTATGATTCAGCTCTCAAAGATCACTGTGATCAACATGTTGTTAATAATTCTTTGAGAGAAATAGCTCGCACTGTCGGAAAAGACGAGAACGCTGTTAAAAATGCTGAAATGCAGTGCTGTAAACAGTAATTTCTACTTCTACTATGGTGTAGTGTTGGATGCTTGCCATAGAGCTCCATGCTGCCCCGTTCAGTTTGGGAGAATATTGGCTCACCGCAGAGACAAGCCGCATGAACCATAAACGTTGCGAGTTGTGAAGCGCGTTCCAGCCGCGAGCCACATCACCGCGCGGAAAGTGAATGCGTCAAGCATAAACCAAGCTTAATGCTTCTGAAATCATCAGATTTTGTATAGAATGAAAATTACTAAAGCTGATTTTACTTATGTACACACACACCACACACACATTTATGCTTCTGAGATGATTACGATCACTGTCACATGACTAAACAAATACACATCAGCCCCCTCACCCTCTGAAACTGATAAACAAATGGAAATAAGATGGAAAAAATATCGGTTGTTAATATCGGCCCGGTTTTATTTATCGGACCAATACAGATGTTAAAAAAAGTGACCAACATCTGCCGATACCGATAGTGATGCAGATTTTTTGTGCATCCCTGATAAATTAAAGCCTTCCATTTCACCAGTGGTTTTCAATTAGTGTGGCATGAATGTTTAAGCTGGGCGGTAGCCGAAGGTGGGGCGACCTTGGTGATCCGATCCTCGGCTACAGAAGCACATACCAAGCTGGCTCTTACGGGGAACGTCACCTCTCCGGTGGGGAAAGCGTGAGTTGGTGTGAGAGGTTGAGGGATTCCAGCTTGATTTAGTCAGACTCACCTCACTGCTCAGCTCTGGCTCCAGAACCGGTGTCCCTGAGAGGGGTAGGACACCCTACCACTCTGGAGTTGATGCTTTTCGTGAGCTCAGCATTTAAAATTTGTTAACTTTTTTATTTCAATCTACACGTATTTTATTTGTGACCCCTCCTGCTTTTACACTTGGTCCCCACAACCATCCCCCTTTGTTTTGCTACATTTCACACAGTGAAGATAACATATATGCGAGTATCTGAAATGTTAAGTCAGTCCCTGAGCAGAACCGATGGTACCAGGGGTGTTTAGACTAATCAGAGTTGGCTTTCACCCACAGGGTGTGAGCTGCCAAGGGAGAGAAATGAAACACCCGTCCTACCCCCCCAGTTCTCCCATTGACTTTATCAAGGTGGGTGCAGTCTTTTCCTCTGTGGTTAGACGATATGTAGACAAAAGTGCCACCTATCAGCTGGATGGTGGCTCTCCAGAGGAATGGAGTGATAATGAGGTTTGTGCATTTGGAGGCACACCCAGATCTGATTTACCGAGGCTTACTGCACAGAATTAAAGGGAAGAAGAAGGTAAGGCGTTAAATGTTTCTAAATCTTCAACTGTTGCAGTCTGATAAACAAAAAGCAACCAAATTATTTTTGAGTCATGCATGGTCTGTGCACGCACGCACTCGTGAAAGCTTAGTGTGCAGCAGTAATACGTGTCAGGAAGATTAAAAACAAAACACTGAACCAAAGGGCTTTTTCCAGAATCATTTCTGACCATGTGGTGCTGTTCGTGTGAAAATGGATGACAAACCAGAAGGCAGCGACTGATTTGTTTTGTCCATTTATGAGACAAACATTAGGCTGACTGATCGGGCCGCAACAACAAAAAGCATCCAAATGTGTGGACGACAAAGTTCAAATGGATATGTGCAAACAGACATGGCAACCGCATAAAACCCATCACGATGCAAACCAAGACTCAACAGATCTAAAACCAAGTGATCAAGTGTCAAGTTTATTATTATTATATAGCCCATTTCATACAAAACGATAGCCCAATGTGCTTCACATAGTTAAAACAATCACAAATTTAAATGTCACATCATGTTATGTATAATAAATCATGGAGTACGGATACAGGACATAGTACACAAAAATAAAAGCATACTAGGGTTGTCACGGTAACCAGTGCAGCGGTAAACCCCGGTAAAAAAGTTGACAATAATAATAAACGTCTTGTTTTTCAAACAATATATTATCACAGTGGATTACCGTGGCTGCGGTGTAGGCGCGGTGACCCTTACCAGCCACCGTATCATCTGCTGAAGTTGCCGGCGGCACATGCGCACTTTGTTGTTTACAACCAAAACTTTCTTGATGCTAAAGCTGAAATAACGGCAAAAGGAGGAGACGGCAGCTCTCAGGACATTTATTATCCCTCAAAGAAGACAAAGTGGGAAGTACGGGCATTTTTTGGATATTTGAAGAATGCCGAGGGACAGTTGATAGAAGACGGCTATCCTGTTTGCAGCACGTGCAGAAAAAGTGTCTGTGAAAGGCAGCAACGCTTCTCCCGTGTGTGTGTGTGTGTGTCTGTGTGTGTGTGTGTGTGTGTGTGTGTGTGTGTGTGTGTGTGTGTGTGTGTGTGTGTGTGTGTGTGTGTGTGTGTGTGTGTGTGTGTGTGTAGCGAATTAAACTTGTCATTTGTTTTAAAGACAACGGAGCAAAGAAGCGTTTTTATTAAGCTTAGAGGTGAAGAGTGAAGCTGTTTACACACACAACCACAGAAGTTCTGCTGTGAAAAGTAGTTCTACATTCAGGGATTTACACAGCTGATACGTTTTAATGAAGTAAAAAGTTTGTGTGAAGAATATAATTTTTATCTTCTCATGTGGATAAATGTAAAAATGTGTTTATTGC